CACCCTTCACTAGCATATGGTCAGTTAACAGTATGACGAGGTGCTGTTTGTATGGTTATACGACATATATTCTATAGAATTCAGTGGACAGTATATTTGATACAGCCACCAAATACTAGTAAGTGGCATAGAAAAGTCCCCAACCCCTTCAGTGTAGTCCAGAAAAACAAAAGATACATACATAAAAAAGGAAACAATATCAGGCAGCATAAGAAACACTCCAACTGAATATTATGGGCAGTATGTTTTTTAGGACTTTAAAGTAGAAAGAAAACACTTAGCGGGACAAATTTTATGAGAACATAAGTTGTGGTTGGGACCATGAAAGATGAGTTGAATTCTGAAAAAGATAAGAGAGGATATTTGTAGGGCACTATAGAAAGCTCATTCGAGCCAGAGGAGAAGATGCATGAAAGTGACGTTGTGGGCGATGAAGTAGATTATTGTCTTACAGTTAACGTTTTGCTAGCTTTGTTTAAATCTCCCAGGTCCCAGGGGTTTATTTGGGCAGTCTTTCATCACTCAACACTTTTTTTTTTTTTTTTTTGTAGTTTGCAGGAACAGGGTTGAACCCTGGACCTTGGTGTTATCAGCACCACTGTAACCGACTGAGCTAACCGGCCAACCCTCAACACACATACTGAGCACCTGTTACGTATCAGGTGTTAAAGCTACAAAGAATATGAGTCCCTGCCCTTGTGATGCACACTTTCTTCCAACAATTTCAATACCATGTGCTTAGTATTAAGAGTAATAATAGAGATGTATGAGAATTCAGTAGGGACTTCTGTTACCAGCCAAGATGAAGTAACTGGGACGATATCTACCTTTCTGCTTGAAACAACCAAAAAACTAGATAAAATATATGATACAACACTTTTTGAGATATTGGACATCAGGAAATGAGGGACAGTAGTCTCAGAGATGGGAAACCCTATCACTGCCGCAACTTATCACCTTGAGAGAGTTTGCAGGCAGTGTCAAGAAAGGAGATGGCAAGATGGAGCTGAAGGTTGGGGAGACCAAGGCAACTAGGGTTCACAGGACAGAATTCCCAGAGACGGGGGAGCTGCAAAGAGGGAGAACGCTGGAGATCTGGAGAGAATCCCCTGGTGCCCCCGTGTATCCAGCAGAGTCCTGATCAGAGTGTGAAAAAAAAAACTGGAGGCCTTAAAAAGAACGATCCAAAAGGATTAGAAGGAACAGTTTTCCAGGCAGGATAAGGAATTGTGCCTGTTCCACCCACCAGCCAGACTGGTAGCCTCATAATTCACAGGGCATTTAGGTAGAGTACTCAGAAAGTTCTTGCCTCCATAGTAGGAAGTAATTAGCCTTAGACTGACCATGGGCTATGGCCCATCTAATGTCTTAAACACAAGACCAAAAAGGTCAGACTATTTCTAAATAACTGCATCCCAGAACAAAGCTCAGGAATATTTATAGGAACACAAAAATGTCCAGCACCCAAACAGGTGAATCTTGCAATGTCTGCCGTCCAACCAAAACTGTGCTGGGTCTGGGATGCGGGAAAGATGTCACAGAGAAGGCTGCATTTTTGCTGTGACAGGCATGTGACAGGTGGGGAAGAATAAGTAGAATAAGTTGGAAGGGCTTTGTAAGAGATGGGTATATAGTGAGCAGTCAGCACCAGGAGGAAGGGAAATGGTGAGAGGCAAGTCCCGAAAAGTGGCTTGTAAAGCAGATAGCCAGACTAAGGATTGGGACTTTGTCCTGAGGATTATGGCGAGATACCGAAGCTTTTTAAGGATGCTTGTATTAAAGTGGCTTGTAAAGCAGATAGCCAGACTAAGGATTGGGACTTTGTCCTGAGGATTATGGCAAAATACCGAAGCTTTTTAAGGAAAGAAATACGGATGCTTGTATTGAAAGAACTCTGGCAACAGTGAGAGGTTGCTGAGGCCTGGGGACTGGAAGATACTAGCAAAAGGCCATGAGAAATGCTGAGGGCCTGGACTAAGAGCAGAAAGAACAGGTTTAGGAGTTAGAATGGTAATGCTCATATGATGAGTGTGTCGTTTGTTTGGGGTGCTATAACAAAATGCTTGGGCTGGGTAATCTATAAATAGAAATCTATTGCTGTCAGTTCTGGAGGCTGGAAAGTCCAAGATCAAGGTGCCAGCAGATTCAGGAAATCCAAGGTCAAGGTGTCACAGCCCTGGTGAGGGCTCATTCTCTGCTTCGAAGATGGTGCCTTCCCAGTGTGTCCTCACGTGGAGAAATGAGGAGAGCTCATTCAGGCCTCCTTCCTAAGGGCGCTAATCCCATTTGTGAGAGTGGAGACCTCATGACCTAATCACTTCCCAAAGGCCCCACCTCTTAATACTATTACATTGGGTGTTAGGTTCCAACATGCCAATTTTGGAAGACACGGACATTGAGACCATAGCAGGAAGCAAGTGAAAAGCAAGAGTTAATAAAGAGATAATAGTGACTAATATTTATTGACTGCTCACTCTGTGCCAGGTAGCGCTCTAAGCACTTTTCTGCGTAGTAACTCATTTAATCTTCCCAGCAAAGCTATGAAGCAGGAACTATCAGTCTCCTTCTGTGCATGAGGATACTGGGGCGTGGACAGGTGAAGCTAGTGGCCTTCAGCTAGTGAGCAGCAGAACTGACATTTGAACCACCAGGCAGTTTGCCTGAGGAGCCTGCCCTTAACCACAGCTCTCACTGCCTCTGCTCAGAGTTGGTTCCCCCTGTGTGTCCTCGTAATCTTTCCTGATTAGCCCAGGTCTTTGATGATGCCCATAGTTGAGTTAGGGAACACTGCAAAGACAGTTTGGGGACATTCATTCATTCACTCATCCATCAGGTGTTCATCGAGTGACAACCATGAGACAGTGTTGGGTGCTAGGATTACAAAGACAAGTAAGAGGGGAGTCAGTGGGTCCAATGAGGTCTAGTGGGGAAGAGGGAGTCAGAAGCCCCTCACAAGGGACCGGCCCGTGGCTCACTCGGGAGAGTGCGGTGCTGATGACACCAAGGCCATGGGTTCAGATCCCATATACGGATGGCCGGTTAGCTCTCTTGTGCGAGCGTGGTGCTGACAACACCAAGTCAAGGGTTAAGATCCCCTTACCGGTCATCTTTAAAAAAAAAAAAAAAAAAGCCCATCACAGGTCAGTATGATAGAAGAGGTGAGCACAGCCCTTTCACAAGATGGTGCCTAAGGCAAAGGAGGAAGCTCCTGCCCCTGCCAAAGCCAAAGCAAAAGCTTGAAGACCAAGAAGGCAGTGCTGAAAGGCATCCAGAGCCACAAAAAAAGATCCACACATCACCCACCTTCTGGCGGCCCAAGACACTGCGGCTCTGGAGGGGACCCAAATATCCTGGGAAGAGCACCCCCAGGTGAAACAAGCTTGACCACTGTGCCATCATCAAGGTCCCCCCGACCACTGCATCTGCCATGAAGAAGACAGAAGACAACAACACACTTGTGTGCATTGTGGATGTCAAGGCCAATAAGCACCAGATCCAACAAGCTGTGAAGAAGCTCTGGGACACTGGTGTGGCCGAGGTCAACACCCCAATCAGCCCTGATGGAGAGAAGATGGCATATGTTCGACTGGCTCCTGACTATGACAACAAAATTGGGATCATCTAAACTAAGTCCAGATGGTTAATTCCAAATATACAACTTTTTTCACCATAAGAAAAAAGAAAAAGAACCAGAAGTGAGCACAAAGGCTTTGAAAGACGTGGAGGGCTGGCTTGATCCAGATCTGGGGTGTCCAGGAGGGCCCCCTGGTGGGAATTGCCCCATTTGGGCACAGAAGGATGCACAGACACCAGCTAAGAGCAGAGCTGTCCAGGCGTAGACATCTGCTAACAGAGCTTGAGGCAGAGGGGTGTTGAGAACAGAAATAACCAGAATTCTTCCATGAGCAGGAACCTGTCTATGGCTTTGAATAAAAAGTTGCAGAGCAGCGTCGAATGCCTGAGATTGGAAATTGAGGAGCCCAGCCCAGATGCGGCTCATGACCCAGATTACCATATTTATCTTTGCAGTCTTAGCACCCAGCAGCTATTCCTTACACCACTTGTCCCACTCTCTATGCTCTTCCACAATAAAGAGCCCTTATTGTCTGTATCAAAATCCTATTCTTAGGCTTCCCTTTTCCCCATGAAATCTTCATTTCCATCTCATTCTATGCAATTAGCTCACTAAAATTTGTTACATCATCTGTGCTTTTCGTTTGCTGATTTATTATATGCTTCCCTAAAGTATTCCATGCATGGTATTCTATTGTGTATTCTTGTACAAGAGTGTTTAAAAAAAAGTTTGTGGAGGGCCGGCCCGTGGCTCACTCGGAAGAGTGTGGTGCTGATAACACCAAGGCCCCGGGTTCGGATCCTATATAGGGATGGCCGGTTAGCTCACTTGGGACAGTGTGGTGCTGACAACACCAAGTCAAGGGTTAAGGCCCCCTTACCGGTCATTTTTAAAAAAAAAAAAAAAGTTTGTGGAGGGCCGGCCCGTGGCTCACTCGGAAGAGTGTGGTGGTGATAACACCAAGGCCCCGGGGTCGGATCCTATATAGGGATGGCCGGTTAGCTCACTTGGGACAGTGTGGTGCTGACAACACCAAGTCAAGGGTTAAGACCCCCTTACCGGTCATCTTTAAAAAAAAAAAAAAAAAGTTTGTGGAAAAATAGAATTAAAAGATAATACAAATTTTTTCATGAATGTCTTGAAGTACCTTTTATTATTTTTTTTGTGAAATGTAGAAAGAAATGAGTTAAGGTTTCCCCTAGCCATTTTAATATTGTTGTTTTCACCCAAGTTATATACAGTAGTTATCTAGAGGAGGGTAATTTTAAAAAATGGCCTTAAGTAGAGAATGTGTTCTTGCCTCTAACTTGTATAATTGTTTTAAAAGCTTCATAGTTTAGTAGATTTGTCTTGGAAACATAATCCAGAAAGTGGGGATTACAGCTTGCTTCTGTTTTTGTGTGCCCCAGAGTTCCTTAGATATCAGCCAGAGCATTGAAGACGACCCGCTTCTGGATGCCCACCTTCTCCCACATCACTCGTTACAAGCTCATTTTCGACCTAGATTCCATCCTCTTCCTACGGTCATCATAGCAAATCTTCTCTTGTTTATACATGTAAGTTGGCCGGGAGAAAAGGATCCATCTGGAGGTGATGCTCTTAAAAAATAGATAAGCTCTTCAGAGGGCAATTGGGCTGTATCTAACATTTAAAATGTCCTAATTTTTTTTTTTATTTTAAAGATGACTGGTAAGGGGATCTTAACCCTTGACTTGGTGTTGTCAGCACCACACTGTCCCAAGTGAGCTAACCGGCCATCCCTATATGGGATCTGATCCCATGGCCTTGGTGTTAACAACACTGCACTCTCCCAAGTGAGCCATGGGCTGGCCCTAAGAATTTGCATTTCTAACAGATGCTCAGGTGATGCTGATGCTGCTAGTCTGGAATCACACTTTGAGAAACAATGCTCTACAACTTATTTCTTTTAATTTTAATGTATCATGGACATCTGTTCAAACCAATACAGAGATTTATTTTATTCTTTTGTAGCTGCATAATATTCTATAATGCGGGTGGATGTGTCTTAATTTATTCAGACATTCTACAATGGATAGACACATACAATATTTGGGCAATTTTTAATTTTTTGTGAATATGGAAAATACTTAAGTAAGTATTAGTACCTAGCACTTCTAGGTACTAATACTTGTACTTCTGAGGATTAGAATCCTTAAAGTAGGATGTCTGGTTCATATATTTCCAAATTATTCCCAAAAAGCAATTCCCAGTCCAGTCAGCAATCTATGGGAATGCCTGTTTGCCCACATTCTGGCACCATCATTTAAATTTTATCAATCTAATTAGATAGTTATTCCTGTTCTCCTAAAATAAACTTTTTAAAACCATGATTTTTATTAGTTTTGAGGTGTTAAATTAACCTTTTTTAACTTTCATAAAGGAGAGGTGGGCAGGAAATTATTAAACATTAGTGGTCATCTGTTAGATGGGATTTGGGGTGATTTTTACTTATCTGTGATTTTTTCCCAAGTTTTCTGCAAATTTTTATAACTTGTTTAAAAATTTTGTAAAAATAAGTTAAAAATGTTTTAAAACTCATTTATGAAAATAGGATAGTGAAAGTCATAGGTATGAGAATATGTGCTGGAATGGTGATTATTATTTCCTAATTTCTAATATTGAACATTAATCCTGCTTTTCTTTCCACCAGGTTGTGTTTGTTGTTTTAGCATTTTTAACAGGTGTGCTTTGTTCTTACCCTGATCCGAATGAGGACAAGTGCCCAGGAAACTACACCAACCCACTGAAAGTTCAGACGGTCATAATCCTTGGAAAAGTTATTTTGTGGATTCTGCATTTACTTCTTGAACGCTACATTCAGTATCACCACAGCAAAGTAAGAAACCGAGGCTATAACCTGATCTACCGATCGACAAGGCACCTTAAAAGACTTCCACTAACGATACACTCCACTGGTAAGCCCCTTATCTCTCAGCTTGTCTGTGGCTTGCTTGAATGGCAAAAATGACAGCAAACAGAAAATGTGAGGTTTGATTTTATAATCAAATATATTATCTCATTTTTATGAGAGTGATGTGTGCTGTGGCCACTAAAACTCAGATCACCTCAATGTCTTGAAGCTTTTCTTATAATATATAGAGCCTTAATTTTCATTTGAAATCTGTATTTGTTATGAAAATGGTGTTTATGTATCCCTGTGTGAAATGTAGAATTTTCCCCCTTTTTGGTATTAAGGAGATGGAAATGCTGTTGCTATTTACTATTTCTGAGGATAAGAAGAGGGATTATTATTTTTTTAAAAATGAAGCTCAGTACTTTTCCTGTAGTAGGGTAGTGATGGTAAGTGTGTAGTAAAGAGGGACTGTGATGTAATAAGATGCATTATACAAAGTGCATAACTTGAAAAACACACCTGTCCTAACTTGTGAAGGCAAGATCCAGAAGGTCCATACAGGACTTAGAATGCAGGAGTGCCTCCTTTTTGTTGTTGTTGCAGAGGCTTAATGGAATGAAATTGAACTTCAATAGGTAACTAAATAACTTAGGTATATTGAATAATTTAATGTTAAAGTTTCTACCTTTAAAAAAAAACCTCTTATTCAATTTGAGTCTAGAATAAATCTTTTAAAATTTTGAATCCACATTAGAAATTAATTTTTTCCCTAGAAACACAACTCTACAGAATTTCTTATTTTTATTTTTCTTGTCTATTCACTTAGTGCTTTTCCTTTTTTTTTCTTGGCAGCTGGCTGGTATAGGGATCAAATCATAGTGCATTTTCTTAAAGGGCAAGCGGTAAATTCATTCTTCAGAGAAGTTCTCAGTGGAAACTGAAGGGTCATGGTATGGCAGAGAGAGAAGCAGTTTATACAGACAGATGATCTTGAGGGGGCAACATTTACTGCTCCCTACCTCTTTTGAGGAGGAAGTTCGTGTTTATATATTCAGTTGTTGATGTGTAGCACTCTTTTTTGGCCAGAAGATGTCACTATCACACAAAGATAAAAGCAGAAGCTTATTTTTTTTTATTTATTTATTTTTTTTTTTTATGGTCTGTGACCAAAATAGTACTTAGTTTCGCTCTGGAGCAGATATCACCAGTTTGAAGAAAAAAATAAAGAAAAAAAAAGACAGTTTCTCAAGTGATGGTCTGGAAACAGTATTTTTGAGTCCCACAAAGAGATTGTTTGACCTTTTACCTTTCTGAAATCTGCCTTTCAATTTTTTTTTTTTTTTTTTTTGGTGGGGGAGGGAGCTGGTGCAGGGGTTGAACCCCGGACCTTAGTGTTCTCAGCACACTCTAACTGAGTGACAGGCCAGCCCCTGCCTTTCAAGTTCTTTAAGTTCTTTTTTTTTTTTTTGTCTTGTCTTTTTCCGTGTCCGGCAACGGATCGCAACCCTCAGTGCTGCCCCCGCACCGGACCGGGGACCGGCAACTGGACTGCAACCCTCGGTGTTGCCCCCGCGCCTCGCTCAGCCAGCGAGCGGGAACCGGTCTGCATGTGGGATCCGAACCCTCGGGCGGGAGCGCCGCCGCACTTCCCAAGCAGCTCACCCATCCAGTGCGCCACCGGGCCGGCCCTCAAGTTCTTTTTAATCCAGTGTTTGATCCCTGTACTGGCCAGCCACCAAAACCAAAAAAAGACAGATTCTTTTTAATCATGTGACCCTTAATCATGATCTGTTTCTAAACAATTGGACCTTTAGTTTAATCACAGATGTCATCAATTTTATGTTGTTCACGTAGGTCTCAGGAAATCAGAGGGATCAGGGCAGGTATTTATCTCGTTTCTATTTTAAGTATTTTTTTTCTTATTTGGAAAAAAATAAATATCTATGGGGATATAGAAACTTTCAGCTAATTAGAAGAGTGTAACCATTCTTCTTTCACATGTGATAGTACTGTTGATATTGATTAACTTCATCCTGATACTTTTTATTATTTTTAGAGGAGGAATTTATTTTTGGGTGGAGATGGGAGAAGGGGCATTACTTTCCTCCTAAGTAAGTCGAAAATATTTACCTAATTTGTCTATTTTCCTTCCTTAGATCCAAATACATTTTTGAATTCTATTAAGTACTGTTAGTTAAATAGCAAGTTGCACATATATATATTTTTTCCCATTGAAATGAAAACTTGTCCCTTTACTGAAAAACAGTAATTTTCATTCTGTCAGACGGGTCCAGACAAGAAGTGTTCCTCTCTGAGGCCTGGGAGAGTGAACCCAGAGATTAAGGACGTGCAAAAGTACAGTTTGAGGGAACTCCTCTGGAGGGTAAATTCTGGAAGGAAAACTTACTTATAAGTAAGTAAGAATTGTTCCAGTCAGAATTGTAGGACCTGAGAGTGCAGTGATTGCTTTCTGCGTAGCCTCAGCTGTCATGGGCCCCACATGCCTTGTAGAAGTGCTGCTGGCATCCTCACTGAAATCTGGGCCTGGTGCTCTTGGCGCAGTGAGGCAGAGGGACCAGGATTGCTTTCTGCGTAGCCTCAGCTGTCATGGGCCCCACATGCCTTGTAGAAGTGCTGCTGGCGTCCTCACTGAAATCTGGGCCTGGTGCTCTTGGCGCAGTGAGGCAGAGGGACCAGCTATCTTGCTATGGATAGCAAAGCATCTGACTATAAGTCTGCAGTGGAGTTGCTTAGGGGAGGGGCTGCTGGCATGTTCCTGGAATCATGATATCTTCCGTTATACCAGAATTATTGCTATGGTAATAATTATAATGACATTTACCACTTATTGAATATCTACTCGGGCATTGTTCGTTTCTTCCTACAGTGACCCTGTGTTATCAGTATTATTTCCCCAGTTTTATAGTGGAGGAGTTTGGGGCTCTGGGTGAGATTAAGGATTTGTTCCCAAGAGGCGGCAGATCCTACATTGGTGCCCAGCCCTCGCGGCTCTCAAAGCTCGTGTGTCTGGTCATTATACTGTCTCCCCAGCTTTGTTTCTTCCAAGTGTTTTTTAATGAATAGCATGTATTTTATTCACTTTTAGAATCTTTTATAAATGGCACATGGAATAAAACAAGAAACATTTAGGCCATGTCTATTTAGGCTATGTCTTTTAATGGTTATGAAACCCAAAACTGGCCATGTATTGTCATGTAGGAAGTTTCTGTTGAGCCCTGAGAGAGTAAACAGGTAGCAGACAAGCTGGAGTGAGCTGGGAGGGGCCTAGCCCCTGACGGATGAAGCTGAAGGGATCAGCCAGGGCCAGATCAGGAGAGATGCCGAAAGGTTTAGGCTGGGGGAGCCATTGAAAGTTCATCAGATCTCACCGTTCAAGAGTGTTTTTTTTTAATAATAAAAGATGACCTATAAGGGGATCTTAGCCCTTGATTTGGTGTTATCAGCACCAGGCTCTCCCAAGTGAGCCATGGGCAGGCCCCCGTTCAAGAGTTTTATACAACTTTAATTCCCAGCCTCCCACCCACCTTCCCTGAGGTTGGTGGGTGGGGCTGAAAGTTTCAATTCTTTAATCACTGGGTCTTTCTGGTGACCAGCCCCATCCTGAGGCTATGGAGTATCTCCACCCTGAGTCACCTCATCAGCATAAACTCTAGTGTGGTGCTAAGGCTTGTTATGAATCACAAAAGACACTTGTATCACTTAGGAAATTCCAAGAGTCTTTGGAGCTCTGTACAAAAACCAAATATTATAACTGTTGTCTCAGAACAGGTTATCTCCGAACTGTTGTCTCAGAACAGGTTATCTCCGAACGGCACTTTGTTATGTTGCAAACGTTGAACTAAAGGAAATGGGAAGGCCTTACAAACAAGGTCTCTCTGACCTCCTGCTCTCCTGTCTCCTACCTCTCTCTCTCTCTCCCACGAGACAGTCATAGAAGCCAGAATTCCTCGTTCCCAAGACTGGTCATAGAAACTAGAACTCCTTTCCCCAAAAGCAAGCCATGAAAACCTAGAAAAGTCACTCTCTCCCTTCTCCTTTCTCCCTTGAAGACCTTCATTCCAGGAGGCACCTCCCTGGGGGTGGGCAAGGAACGCCACACAGAGAGGACAGAAGAATCTGAGCGATAGGCCTGGCTGGATTGCACCCCCATCAGCCTACTACTGTTGTTACAGGGGCCACTCAGCTCCTGGCTGAGGCTCCCCCAAGTTTGATACCAGGAATACAGGTCTGGCTGCCTGTCCCCGTTTTTGAAAAGCATCCCACTCAAAAGTCAGCGTTGGTGAAAATGGAAGTCAGCTGTTATGCAGGAATACTGTGCGCTGAGGAGGGATGTTAAACTAACCCATCTCTCCAGTAAACCTGAGCGTTGGTGAAAATGGAAGTCAGCTGTTATGCAGGAATACTGTGCGCTGAGGAGGGATGTTAGACTAACGCATCTCTCCAGTAAACCTGAAGGAGAATGACCAAGCGAAAGCCACCTGAAAGATCAGATCTACTGAGGGGCTTTAGAAGAGGGGCTGGAACACGGGAACTGAAAAGCAGGAGGGAGGGGCACGTGAGCAGCCAGGGCTTCATGCGAGATCTCAGGTGCAAAGTTTCTGCAAGACCCTATCGGTTTCTGCTCCCGTCTTTGTTGTTATCTCATGGTCCTGCTGGAGGGGTGGAATCCGTGCAGCCTGGTTCCCCTTGGGTGGTACGTGCAAGTCTGCAGCTCCAGGCTGACTGGAGAACAACTTTACATTCATGTAAATAATGTCATCTGCCCCATAACCGAGGTTCAAATAAAAGTAACCATGGGAAAGAGGGAACTCAGAAATACATACCAGGAAAAAACTTTTAAAAACTTGCCTACAGCCCGTGTGGTTTTAGTTCCCAACATATCTTCAGTCCTGCTCACTCCACTATTAGATCATACAAGGGTACTTCGAAAGGTGTGTGGAAGAATAGTGTTACCTACAGACCAGGCGTGGCTTGCCCTCCCGCACTAACAGATGACTTGCCCTCTGGCACTAACAAATGACTTGAAAGTCCAAAAGTTGGTGCAAGAATTGGAATGGTTCACTCTGTTTCGTTCTAGTGAAAGAATAAGGCCTGCTCTGTTTTAATAGAATGAAACGATGATACGAATCTTTCCTCGAACTTTTGGAAGTATCCTCATGTCCTTTTGTCCAGTCACATTTCTGCACAGTTGTCCATTCTTCATGCAACCTAAGCATAAAACAGTTTCCCCTAAGCCTTTGGGTATTCATTCTGAAGGCTCCAGGTCATGTACAACTTTAAATTAAGTACGTTTGATATGCTTTTTCTTTTTTTTTTAAAAGATGACCGGTAAGGGGATCTTAACCCTTGACTTGGTGTTGTCAGCACCACGCTCACCCAGTGAGCTAACCAGCCATCCCTATATGGGATCCGAACCTGCGGCCTTGGTGTTATCAGCACCGCACTCTCCCGAGTGAGCCACGGGCCAGCCCATTGATATGCTTTTTCTTGTTAACTTGTCTTTTGTTGTAGGAGCGACCCTTACGAAGGGTGGGGAAGTGCACACCTTTCCCCCCCTACACAAGGAAAGCTGCTCCGATCACTCTTATGACTCGGGAGATTGGGAGCGTCTTAGGAGCCCGGTGGCAGGAACCAGAGGAAGAGCAGACCCGTGGTTGTCTTACACCCTGCTTTACGTTTCTCCTCTCAGGCAACACAGTGTTGCTTCTCCTGCTGTGCGTGCAGCACTCCTTTCCTGAGCCCGGCAGATTGTACCTGGACCTCATTCTGGCCATCCTGGCCCTGGAGCTGATCTGTTCCCTGACATGCCTGCTCATTTACACAGGTGAGAGTTACAACTAGGCTGTTCTTATAAAGACCGTTGGCTGCTTCCTTTTCTGCCAGTTTGAAGCATGGCCCGTTATCTTAGCGATGAGGACGTTTACCTATGTGACTGAGAACCTACTTAGCACCTGTAACTCTCATTGCTGACCACACCTAGACTTCTCTGATTCCAAACCACCAGGAAGATACACCACCAGCAGTGAGTCACTTTTGGGGGGGGGGGGGGGGCTGGTTGGTCTGAGGATCCAAACCCTTGACCTTGGTGTTGTTATTAACACTGCACACTAACCAGCTGAACTAACCCGCCGGCCATTGAGTCACTTTTCTAAGAGTGTGCCATCAATAAATTTGTGTCAACTAAAGTAAAGCCTTATCATTATAAAAAAGAAAACTTTCGGGGCCGGCCCCGTGGCGCACTGGATAAGTGCGCCGCTTGGGAAGCGCGGCGGCGCTCCTGCCCGAGGGTTCGGATCCCACATACAGACCGGTTCCGCTCACTGGCTGAGCGAGGCGCGGGAGCAGCACCGAGGGTTGCAATCCCGTTGCCGGTCCCCGGTCCGGTACGGGGGCAACACTGAGGGTTGCGATCCGTTGCCGGACACGGAAAAAGACAAAAGACAAAAAGAAAAAAAAAGAAAACTTTTGCATCCCCAAAGGCAACTGAAACGTAAGTTTGGCATTTAAAATACAAAATACAAAATAAGTAAATAAGTAGCTAAAATATAGATACAAAACTGTATTTAGCCCAAACTTGCTTTGAGGTAAACCATTTAGGAATCCACTTCTTTCTAAGTTTAGAGCTGTCTGAGGGTTTGTCGGTCTGTCTGTCTCTGAAAACACTCAGTGGTAAAATTAAGTAGACTTCTGATATGGTAAGATGAAAAATAGTATGGAAGGATACTTTAACAGAAAAAATTCAAGCCCTGGAGAAATCTAGGTTTTATTTTTGCTGCAATATAGGCAGTAAAATCTGTCCATGACAGCAGCTAACTTAATGGAGTTAAGCTGAAAGTTGTTTTGTGACAATAAATGGTATAACCATTTTGAAAGAAATAATTTCTCTGGTTTTCAAGGAAGAAGTCATGTGGGTCTCAGGTTGTGTTGCATTTTACTAATTTTCTGTGTGTCTCCTTGAGGCCAGGAGGAGGGTATGTATAACGTGAATGGAACAACTAGTTTGTACATGTGAATGATGTCACAATCTTAGTCACCTTGTAAGTTTCTCTGTATTTGTCAACAAACATCCAACATAGGTATAGGATTATATTTGCATCTCACTTTTTTAAAAGATGCATACCACCCAACTAACTTTACAGAACAGAATGACTTTAATTTTAGTTTCTTTTTTTTTTTTTTTTCCTTTTTGTCTTTTTTCGTGTCCGGCAACGGATCGCAACCCTCAGTGTCGCGCCCGTACCGGACCAGGACCGGCAACGGGATCGCAACCCTCGGTGTCGCGCCTGCACCTCGCTCAGCCAGTGAGCGGGAACCGGTCTGTATGTGGGATCCGAACCCTCGGCGGGAGCGCCACCGCACTCTCAAGCGGCGCACTGGAGCAGTGCGCCACCGGGCCGGCCCCTTTTTTCTTTTTCTTTTTTTTTTTGGTGGCTGGAGAGTACAGGGATCTGAACCCTTGATGTTGGTATTATCAGCACCACACTCTAACCACGTGAGCTAACCAGCCGGACGAAATTCAGTTTTGTTTTGTTTTGTTTTCTTGAGACTTTAATTTTAAAGTAAGGTTAATTTTTCAGTATCTAGGAAATGGCTCAGTACTTCAGTAAAGTGATCCATGTATCAGAAATGAATATTGAATTATCTTGTTGGTTGAGATCAGTTCCGTTCTGTGACATATCATATCTATTCAGTGCTATAAATTGGGGTTATAATTTGGATTCGAGTATAGAATTCAATTACCATGGTACTTTATAGTGTCTGCACATCTTTTATAATGTATTGTAGTGGGTTCTAGCCTTCAGTAAACTATCATGTGGATATTTTTTTTTTTTTTTGGTGGCTGGCCTGTACAGGGATCCTAACCCTTTGACCTTGGTGTTTCAACTCCATGCTCTAACCAACTGAGCCAGCTGGCCAGGCCTCATGTGGATACTTTTTAAAAAGCATTACCTACGTAATGCTTTGTGTTATAGAAGGAGGTGACAACTGTATTCCAAAGATCATGTGAATGTCATCATGGAATTAAGGGGAATGAATACTATTATATGTAGTCCAAGGGCCGGCTGGTTTATAGTTGGTTAAAGCACAGTGCAGATAACACCAAGGTCAGGGGTTCCGTCCCCTCACTGGCCATGCCACCAAAAATAAAACAAACAATCAAACAAAAAATGTAGTCCAAGATTATTCCTCTAGGATTTACTCTACTAATTTTAAATGATTTGCTGTAGCATTTTAAATTAATTATACTATAGGGCCGGCCCTATAGTATACTATACTCCTGTAGTGCGCCGCTTGGGAGGCGCGGCGGCGCTCCCGCGAGGGTTCGGATCCCACATACAGACCGGTTCCCGCTCACTGGCTGAGCGAGGCGCGGGAGCAACACCGAGGGCTGTGATCCCGTTGCTGGTCCCGGTCTGGTACGGGGGCGACACTGAGGGTTGCGATCCATTGCCGGACACGGAAAAAGACAAAAAGAAAAAAATAAAAAGAAAAAATAAAAATAAATTAATTAATTATACTATAAACAAGATAGGTAATAGTTAAAAACAAAAAAGCAAAAACCTGAGACCATTTAAAAAGAGGCAGAGAAAGCCAATGTTCCAAAAGTCCTGAGAGGAACTAATTTTTACAGTTGGACACAATATATTAGTCACATGACACCTAAACTTGAATAAAACCAGAAACTTTCCTTGATTATGTAGCATTTGTTTAATCCATTGTCTTCCTAAAATAAAAAGATTGCTTTAGTCTATAGTCTCAGTAAAAGACTTAGAAGTGTATTAATTTTTAAAGGTTCTATTTGAATAAAGTATACCATTAAAAATTGTCTTTTTATTTATGTATATATTTATTTGGGTAGGCGGCTGGTACACAGATCGAACCCTGGACCTTGGTGTTATCAACACCACACTATAACCAGCTGAGCTAACCAGCCAGCCCCCAAAATTGTTTTTTGAAATCTCAAATTGAAGGGGCTCACAGTTAGCTCAGTTAGAGCGCAGCCTTATAGCCCCAAGGTCATGGGTGCAGATCCCCACACTGGCCAGCCACCAAAAAAAAAAATCTCAAATTGATATCCTTCTACTTTAAGAACACCTAGTAATTTGTAACTCAGACTTGCAAAATAAGTAGATGATTTACATAGGAAAGGTTTATAATTATTATAAATTTACTTAGTGCAGGGTTTCTACAAATACTGAGTTTCTTTAGAATGTTTAAGTATGACTAGCTTTCTTCCACCTCCTCGGTAATAGGCTTACTTTTTAAATTATAGTGTTCCTTTGAAGGTACTATAGACTCTGACAGGAGAAAAATGAGAGAGTAGCTTCCAGGGACAAATGTTGCTTCTGTTCAGTATGTCACAGAACATTTAAGGTTGGTTCCCTGATGTATATGCATTTTTCGTCTTTCTCTATACTAATAATTTTTTTTAATGATAGCTAGTTTGGTAATGTTAGTAGAAACTCTTTAGGATATGGTTCTTTAATATATTAATTCTTGCCTAAACCTGACTAATTTATTTGCATTTTAAGTACTTAATCTGTAGAAACCAAAGCGGACTCCTTTCATTCAGTATTAGTTTGCCTGACTGCCTCCACAGGGGAAAACTAGGAAAATAAGATTTAAAACAATGTCAAAATACTAAATTTGATTAGTGAAAGAAACTGAGCTGAGTTGCCGGGTGCCAACCAAGCTTTATTAAAGGAAAAGAAGATCTGGCTGTGCTCAAAATGGGGGACAGCACCAGGTGTGGGTGTGGTAGAGCTCATATAAGGCGTCAAGGGCTGGCTGATACTATCAAGGAGGGGCATTATGCTAATGCTGAAGCTGTGCAACCAAGGCTGAGATCTTTGCCCTGCAGAAGCAGAACTCAGGAGGCTTCTCATAAAGGGAAGAGGGGAGGGGTTTGGTGCTGGAGTGGAAGACAAGGCTGGCGGCTATTTTGTGCTTATTGTGTAAACAATAGTGCTGGTCACGTCCAAGATCCATCAATTAGCTTTCCATTCATTCAAAAGTAAGTAAAAGAATCAATACATTCCACAGTTATCAACCTTCTAGCAGCCCTGAAGTTGTAAAAGCTTCAGTACAGGATGCAAGAAAACATAAATGGTGAGCAAGCCCGCCTGGCTTTTCAGTTTTGCGATGTTTTATCATGCATGCTGGCCATGGCTTAGGATGGAGAGGTTGAGTGGAAGATTTTTGTTCCATGTGTACATCCAGTTTAATTGATTTTAAAAGCTGAAAAGATGAGTCTGAAAGATGGACATTTTTATGTTAGATTATGGGTACGTTTTTTTATTTCTGCCTTTTAACTTTTACTTTTGATAATTGTATAACTGTTATCCCCTGTTCCTTAACTGAAGAAACTTCTGTGTCTAAGAGATGAACATGTTTTAATTTTCTTAGTTTATTTAGAAATTATGTGGAAGGCACCATTTTAGGGAGGTAAATATGGACATAAACAACTGGTGTCAGATTCACCAGCATCATAGTGGATCTTCCAGCGACATTTGACGTGGGTGATCACTGCCTCCTGGAAGTGCGTTCTTCCCTGGCTCTGGGTTCTTGCTTTCCTGTTTCTCTGGCTGCCCCAGTGTATCCTCCTTTGCTGAGTGTTCTCCCAGACCTGCTGGTGGTGGAGCCTCAGGGCTCCGTCTCAGCCTTTTCCAGCCTGGCACTGTAGCACCTCCTGTTTTGTGCTCGGGTCCATTTGAAGCCCTGAGATGCTTCTCATTTCTTTCTCGGCCACTAGGTAAAAGTCAAGGGCTTCTAGTTCCATTTCCTCTCTTCATTCTTTTGACATCGTACTGTCTACCTCTTTCCTTCCCCTCCTTTCTGATGAACCCTCTGCAAATCTCCCAGCCTTTTCACTTTACTCTTTAACCTCTTCACTTTAGCTTCTTCAACCCAGTTCTCAGCTGAGAGTGCACATCAGAATCATGTGTGGAATCTGGCAATTCCTCAAAAGGTTAAACATAGGGTTACCCTATGTCTCAGCAGTTGCACTCCTAGGTACTCGTTTATCCAAGAGAGCTGGAAACACATATTACACAAAACATGTACATGAATGTTCAAAGCAGCATTATTCATAATAGCCAAAAAGTGAACACAACCCAAATGTTGTTGGCATAAACTGGGGAATAGATAAACAAAATGTTTTATGTCCATACAGTGGAATACTCTTCTGCCACAAAAAGGAATGAATACATGGAATGAATGAATGTAGTGATATGTGCTACAGTGTGGATGAACCTTGAAAAGTTGTGCTAAGGCAAAGAAGCCCGTCACAGAAGACCACATATTATATGATTCTGTGTATAGGAAACGCCCAGAGCAGACACATCTACAGAGACAGAAATAGATCAGTGGTTGCCTAGGGCTGGGGGGAGGGGACAAATGAGGAGTGACTGCTAATGGGTACAGTTTCTCTTTGGGGTGAAGAAAGTGTTCTAAAATTGATTGTAGAGATGGTTGTACAACTCTTTGAATGTACCGAAACCATTGAATTGTGCTTTTTTTTTTCCTCCCTTTGGTGGCTGGCTGGCATAGGGATCCAAACCCTGACTTTGGTGTCATCTGCTCTGCGCTCTAACCAACTGATCTCACTGGCCAGCCTTGAACTGTGTGCACTTTATTTTTTTATTATTTTTTATTTTTTTAAAGATGACCGGTAAGGGGATCTTAACCCTTGACTTGGTGTTGCAGCACCACGCTCAGCCAGTGAGCAAACCGGCCATCCCTATATAGGATCCGAACCCAGGGCCTTGGTGTTATCAGCACCGCACTCTCCCGAGTGAGCCACGGGCCGGCCCGAACTGTGTGCACTTTAAATGGGTGAATCGCATGATAAGTAAATTATAGCTCAATAAAGTTGTTATAAGAAAGGAATCATGTGATTTTTTTAAAAAATTGTGCCTGGGCCTACCCTGCCTCCCCTCCCCTAAACCACATGCTAAATATTCTGATTCATTTGGAGTTCCACTTATGTGGGGTGACAGTCACTGTCTTCACTGAGACCTGGTTCACACCCTGCTGCTCCTCCTCTTGGAATCATCTCAGGTGGAGACCGCTCATTCCAACCAGGTCCCAGAATCATTATTCGGTTGGGGCAGAGCCCCGATACAGTAGCTGTTATCCAGAGGTGCAGATCGTTCCGTCTGTGTTGTCAGACCCGAGAAGTTAGGAACAACAGACTTTATTATGTCTGTTTATCTTTACCTCTTTGCAGCAGCTGCCTAAAAATTTTTTCTTTTCTTTTTTTTTTTTTTAAAAAAAAGATGACCGGTAAGGGGATCTTAACCCTTGACTTGGTGTTGTCAGCACCACGCTCAGCCAGTGAGCAAACCGGCCATCCCTATATGGGATCCGAACCCGGGGCCTTGGTGTTATCAGCACCGCACTCTCCCGAGTGAGCCACGGGCCGGCCCGAACTGTGTGCACTTTAAATGGGTGAATCGCATGATAAGTAAATTATAGCTCAATAAAGTTGTTATAAGAAAGGAATCATGTGATTTTTTTAAAAAATTGTGCCTGGGCCTAACCTGCCTCCCCTCCCCTAAACCACATGCTAAATATTCTGATTCATTTGGAGTTCCACTTATGTGGGGTGACAGTCACTGTCTTCATTGAGACCTGGTTCACACCCTGCTGTTCCTCCTCTTGGAATCATCTCAGGTGGAGACCGCTCATTCCAACCAGGTCCCAGAATCATTATTCGGTTGGGGCAGAGCCCCGATACAGTAGCTGTTATCCAGAGGTGCAGATCGCTCCGTCTGTGTTGTCAGACCCGAGAAGTTAGGAACAACAGACTTTATTATGTCTGTTTATCTTTACCTCTTTGCAGCAGCTGCCTACCTACTTGTCTTAGTGTGCTAGGACTGCCATCACACAACATCACAGACCGGGTGGCTTAAACAATAGAAATTTACTTTCTCACACACAGTTCTGGATACTGGAAGTCCGTGACCAAGGTGTCAGCGGACTTGGTTTCTTCTGAGGCCTCTCATTGGTTTGCAGATGGCCACCTTCTCACTGTGTCCCCACGTGGCCTTTTCTCTGTCCGGTGCCTGCCTGTGTCTCTTCTTACAAGGACACCTGTCCTATTGAATTATGGCGCCATCTTTATGGCCTCATTTAACCTTAATTTTCCCTTTAAAGGCCCCATCTCCAAAAATAGTTACATTAGGGGTTAGGGCTTTAATATATGAACTTGGGGGGAACATAATTCAGTGTATAATAACCCTTATCCCCCAAAACTGCCAAGTTCATCAGTGGCCTCCAAATTGCCAAATTTGCTGGATCCTTTCCATGTCTCCACCCTCTGGTAGTTAACACTGGCTGCTCTTTCCTGCTTCTCCTCCTCCCCCTCTGAATGTTCATTCCCGTTCCCTTTAGCAGGTTTTTCCTACCTCTTTAATATTGGTGGGTTTCAGTGTTCTGTCACCAGCCCTCAGCCTTTTTCACTCTACATATTTAGTTACTGTCTATACACTAGTGGGCAGCCCCCGAATGAACAGAGTTACCCAAACCCATATATATTCATCTGCTTCGTGAAATTTCCATCTGATGTCCCACAGGCACCAATAAGATCAAAATTGAACTGAACATCTTTTTCCCTCTTCTTAAACCTTCCCCCAGTAAACACATTACAGGTCTCCCTCCTTCCGTCCTCTAATTCATAATCCTTACTTCTGCCAACGGGATTTTGTTCATAGGTAACTGATCATTAACAGCTCTCCTGCCCTGGTTTCTAATGGCCCAAGGAAGAAAATTTAAATCTTAGTGTGCCATAAAAAGCTTTCCATGAACAGACCCTCCCTGGTCTGCTCTTCAGGGGTGATGGGGAGAGCCTTTCAATGATGGCCGGTTGCTCTCAGGGTAAAATCTACATGTCTTACGTGACGCAGCAGACACACAAATGCGTTCCCTGCCCACCTTTCCAGCCTCACCCCTGTCCATACACGTACCTTCTCAAAGCCGTGGCATTTGTTCAGGCTCTTCCCACACCTGAAACACCTTCACTCTCCTAATCTGCATGATTCATTCCTGTGTTTCCCTCAAGGCTGGGGTCAAGCTCCACCTTCTGCCTCCTTTCTGAAACCTCCTGCTGAGTTAGGGACAGCTTTCCCACAGCTGTCACTGCTCCCTGTGCAAGCTTTTATTTAAGGTATTACTCACGCTGTCCTAACATGTGGGCTTATTGTCTTATTCTTCCCTGGACCAGTAGCTCTTTAGAGTAGTGTCAACAGTGAGGCTTTGAAGTTACGGTTCCTGGACGAGAAGCCTGGCCAGTGGCCTAACTTCTCTGGCTTCACCTTACTCATTTATGGAGTGTTGGGAGCACCCGCCTCATGGGATGGTTATGAGAACTGAATAAGGTCTTCCAGTTAAACAGCTAAACTGTGCCTCGTGTGTTGTAAATGCACATTAAATGTCAGCTATTTTTTTGACCACCACTATACTAATGAGGATGTTATTATCAATACTAATGATAATCCCTAAATTTCCAGTGTTTAGTATAGGCCTGGCACATAGGAAGCTTTGAGAACTATGAGTACAGTTTTTTGGTTGGTTTTCTCTTTTTTGGGTTTTTTTTTTGTTTGTTTCTGGGTTTTTTTTGCCGGTACAGGGATCAGACCCTGGACCTTGGTGTTATCAGCACCACATTCTAACTTGTTTCTGGGTTTTTTTGCCGGTACAGGGATCAGACCCTGGACCTTGGTGTTATCAGCACCACATTCTAACCAACTGAGCTAACTAGCCAGCCCTAATGTTTGAGTGCATTAATAAACAAACCTGTTTGTTTATTTTATGAAGCTATTTTATACATACTACCTTATTTGAAAAGAATAGTTAATTAGAACAATTTGAATAAATGAAAATAGACATTTTTTCAGAATTAGATCTAATAATGAATTTACTATTTTAGTGAAAATCCAGAAATTTAATAAAGCCAAACCACAGCCTGATGTACTTGAAGAAGAAAAAATCTATGCTTACCCCAGCAATATTACTTCAGAGACTGGATTCAGGTAAGGTTTGGGTGGGGAATAAAAGAATTAAAAATTTTTCCCCTAGAAATCTGGAAACCATTCTAATGCTTGGAGTTTATGACTGTGCATTTGTGTCTTTATAATAATGTTGATTTGTTTACTTCCTTTCACCTACGGTGAAAACAAGTCTAAAAAGTTATACATAAATTTACTAAATAGTTCATATATTTGATGCAAAAGTAAGATTGACCACTTAGTCAACCTAGTCAAAGTTGCAGAACTTTTTACATTATTGGATACTCCCTCCTTCTTGAAATGCTTTTGTAGGCTTCTCAAGTGCTGCAGTGTCCTGATTTCTCCTTCGATGGCTCTTTCTTCTCTGACCGAACTTCCAATACCAGTGCACCAAAGGGCCTGCCCTTTCCCTGCCCTATCCCTGTTTCTATCACATCCCTCCTTAGGTGACTTCTGTGGCTTAAAATATCCATATCTGTTGGAGAACGTGGGGCTAAAATGGTTTTCAAAAAAACTATATAAGCAGGAGCTGGCCGGCTAGCTCAGTTGGTTAGAGCGTGGTGTTGACAACACCAAGGTCCAGGGGTCAGTCCTTGTACCAGCCAGTTGCCATGAACAAACAGACGAACAAACAAAAACTACATAAAAAAAGAAAGATGCAATTTTTGTGGGGAAAACTGGCCAGTATGGGGATCCAAACCCTTGATCTTGGTGTTATAACAGCAGTCCTAACCAACTGAGCTAACCAGCCAGCCCCAAAAGAGGCAATTATTAATCCCAGGCAAAGCAGAAAGTTATACATGGAAGGAAATATAATAGTAGATAGAGCCTTACATGGCTTAACTGTGGATAATATTCAGATAGTGGTGATGTGGATTCTGAATGTTATTTACTAGATTGAGAGAATGTAAGAAAGAAGACAGGAGTAAGTGTATATAGAACAGGGGAAAATAAAGAGCTAAACCCTCATGTCTTATATAGGAAGTCTGTAGATACGGTGATGTGGATTCTGAGTGTTATTTACTAGATTGAGAGAATGTAAGAAAGAAGACAGGAGTAAGTGCATATAGAACAGGGGAAAATAAAGAGCTAAACCCTCATGTCTTATATAGGAAGTCTGTAGATAGTAGCTAAAGTTGAAACATTGAGAAATAGAATCCTGTCATTTAGAAATATGGAGACACATACAGAAGAAACAGTTACAAAGAGTTGAAAGTGGTACCTCTGGGACATGAAACTCAGAGGTGGTGACTGGTGGTGAGTGAGGCAGGGGACTATTGTTTTTAATCGTGAACCTTGTAGTTAGGAATACTTAACTCTTTTTAACTATGAGAATTAAGTGATTATAAATAAATAGGTCCCATAAGTATACTGACGACTCCCAAACCTGTATCTTCAGATATGAATTTTCTCTGGGGTTGAGATTTGTATATCTGATTGTCTCATTAGCCATCAGCATCTCCCTTTGGATATCTAAAATAGGCATCTCAACCTTAACATGTCCTACCCAGAGCCTTCTCCCTGCCCCAGTCTGTCCCTGTCTTAGTGAGAGGCATCACCATTCCACAGGCTGCTCAGGCCAGAAGACCAGTGTCGTCCTTGACTCCTGCTTCCTTCACCCCACCCACCCAGGTAATCCATCAGCAAATTCTGCTGGGTCTGTCCCCATAATATATCGCGAATCCAGCCACTGCTCTGCACCTCCACTGTCACTAACGTCTCTTACCTGGAGGTACAAGAGTCTCCTTACTGGTCTCCCCACTCCCATTTCCCCCTTTAGTCCCTTTCTGGAATACAGTTCATTCCTTAGCTTCACGTGAACTGGATACCAGTTGACATGAGATTAAAGTCAGCATATAAAGCAAGTGTGTTCTTTAGGGACTTGAGAAATTTACTCAGTGCTACGCGTGGTGACAATCAGCTTTGTATCTTATGAATATTCATAACCAATAATAAAAAAATAATTAAAAATAAAACTTAAGAAAATTACCGAAACTCCTATCGTATTTTTATTTTATTGTATCACTACATAAATATGGAGCAACATGGGATTTGTATATGAAGCGTGGGCAGAGAAGCTGAGATAGAGGCAGGGGGTGGATTGCCTGGAAGCAAATAGCTGAATATTCAAGACTCTTTATTAAAAAAAAAATTTACTCAGTGCTAATACTGATATACTAGTGAAAACAAAAAGGAAACTTTATAGATGAAGAAAAGAGACACTTTTAAAAATACTTGTTGAAATAACATAGTTCAATTTATTAGCCTTTAGTCATGAGTGTCATTTTTGAATTAGCTCTCATGACATTTAACTGTTGCTAGGCAGAGGTTTAAAGTGGCAGCAGAGGAGAAAGCAGCTCTGTGAAGCGTTACCTGCGAGGAAGCCTGTTGTTCTTCATGTAGTGTGGGATGTGACTACTTCATGAGACAAGTCCAGGGATCTTCATCTGTCCCCAAGTGTGCTGTGATGATATCTTGACAGTTCCCGAATCCCATACCATCAGTTTCTTGAGGATGGGTTATACTCTCTTGAATTCTCAACATGTACAGAACTCAGAAAACTGGAGGTATACTTAGTTAAATGGATTTTTTCCCCTAGGAAATACATTCTTTCTGTCAGTTTTCACCCATCATGATCTACCTTATTTTGTTTACTCTGTTTCCTCATTTTATCCTAAATAGAGAAATAATTTTAGTGTCAATTCTTGAACTTTGGGACTTATTAAATGCAAAGACTGTTCTTGACCTTGACCCCTTTCATATTTCATATCGTTCCTAGTGAGCACTGAGCACTGAACAGTTTACCTATAATTGTACTCTTGTGACTTAATGGACAGTGTATAATGTATTCTCTTCACCTCATGGGGTTAACTTTGGAGCAATAACATTCAGTTTCTCTTCTTCCTTTAATTTTAAAATTTGCATAAAATGCCTCTTTGAAAATGCATCTTAGTTTGAAAATTAGAATCAACTTCCAGTTAATGAAGGTGGATCAATCCACACATGTTTATCTGTCACCCTCCCCAGACCCTTCCAAAATGATAGAGAAGGAATAAAAAAGGCCATACTACCCATACTGACAGAGGAGCTGGAAGAGAAAGGGGCCATCAGCGGATGAGTGACTTCTAAAAATGTACATGCTAAGTAATGCAGACAGAGGAGCAGTAAATGATACGCAGTGCAGAGCAGGCCACGTTCAGAGGACATGTGAGAAATAAAGCCAGGGAGGTTGCCATTCTTCCTTGTGGGATCCTGGAGGGACTTGGAACTCAAATAAACAGAATGCCCTTGGGAGTGAGACATAGGGCTGGAGAAAAGGGATGTTAATTAATGTCAGTGTCTGCTCATAGAAACGTCGACTCTGCTCATAGCACACCCGTCCTGTTTCATCAAGATAACCCAAAAACTTCATACAAACAGTATTTTTTCAGTGAGTAGCCTAGCTCAGGAACAAGAGTGGTAGGGGATCCTCAAGTGCTTTACACTTATTAAGTGCTAAACGTTTGTTGCTGTTATATCAACATCTGAAGACCAGAGAGTTTAGGTAACTTATTAAGGTCACACAGCCTGAGTGGAGACGTCAGGATTGGAATTTGGACAGTCTTTGTCCATCCCCTGTGCCTGTAACCACATTATTTATAAGCATAATTATTTATCATTATTTATATGCATACGTCTTTTTTTGTTCACGTGGGACCATTCTATGCATGTATTCTGCAGTATTTCACTTACCTTCCCTTACAATGTTTCCATATTAACACATATAGAATATATGAGTAAAACACATCCATTAATACTTTATTTCTTGAGTGGGCAATTTTTAGTCACAATGTTAAAATTCATCTGGTACATTTTTGACATCTTTATAATTATTATCATTATTCCTAGTACTAATATCTTAAGTTAGTGGAAGGAAATTAAAAATACTTTATAGCTATTATTTGTGAGCTTGAGACTGAAGTGAGCTGGGGTAGTGGTGTAGGAAGAAGTAAGACTTGTTTTTTATTTTATACTCTTCTATACTATTTTTATTTGTGTCAAATGCAAAAAAAGTGCCATACTTTTTTTGAAATGTTTCTTATGGTCAAAGTTGTCTATTTTAATGTTACATCATCACTTGATTTTTGTACAAATTTTGTCTTTGTCTCTTCAAATGCCATTTACCTTGATCACTTAGATTCAATTATCGTAGTCTAACAAGTTAGGATACGTCTTCTTTTTTTTGGCAGCTGGCCAGTGTGGGAATCTGAGCCCTTAACCCTGGTATGTTATAACACCACACTCTAATCAACTATGCTAACTGGCCAGGATGCTTCTTAAATAAAGCAATAATGGCCTTTTTTTAAGGCTGAGAATTGTGAAAGTTTTTAAAATTTCAAATTGAAACAAAATAGATTTATTTCCAGAGTGGAAGTCACTAAAATGATTTGTGAAAGAATCTCATTTTGGAATATTGCCCTGGGTTATACCATCTAAGAAAATGTAACTAATACAAGATGCTGTACAGAAAACTGGTAGGGACTCCTTTGCAAAAAGACCAGTGAGAATTGGTGAATATGTGTAACCTGTTTATATTTTGATTATTTGCAGGACTATTTCAAGCCTAGAAGAAATTGTTGAAAAGCAAGGAGACATAATAGTACACCTGAAGCGACACAATGCGCTGTTGAGTAAGCGACTGTTGACTCTCACTTCTTTGGACCTAGGATCTCAGCCAAGTAGAATGTGAGAGGCTCGTAACCATGACAGCGATTGCAGAGGAATCCAGAGTAATTTAAGACCCACTGACTGCCTGACAAGCTGCCACAGGGAATTGTAGCTTTTGCTGAGTAACAGTTTTTGTTGGAAACCTGAATGAGGTTCTCACCTGTGTGGCTGTTTAATATACAGGGCTTGTGGATCATTCGAAAGGTACTTTGTAGAAGCCTTGATACCTTGAGAATGTCTGTTTTGTACATTTTGAAGTTATTTAACTGCTTGGTTTATCCTAGGATTGAAAGTATAGTTTAAACTTCTCTGTGGTCTATACTTTTTCCACATGACATTACAACTCTAATAATTTGACTATTGATAGAGGAGGTCTGACAAGACAATCTATTTTAAACAGAGTTTTAATCAAGTAAGATTTATTTTTACTTCTAAGCTGGTGAAAGGAGCCATTATTTCTAGTTTTTGATGTTTTTTCCAGCAGAGCTTCGTCATGGATTTTGTATGCTCTTGTGGTATGGGATGAGAGCTTAGGCCATGTGGCTTTTGTAGAGAATTTCTTGAGTGTAGGACCAACGTCTCACTGGGGTATTTACTATGCAAACTCCTACAGTTTTCTGTTCTTTGGAAATGAGATACGAAGATTGCTTGGAGCAGTGTTAGACTGACCTGTGTCAGACAACGTGCGGCCTGTTATATAGGCAGCACCTTTCATTAGCAATAGAGAATTTAGAAAAGAATTTAATAAATTTAGTAAATTTGCCCTTCAAGAAGTTGCCATATATTTCAGTATTCATTATACATACTTCATTGGATCGATACATTCATTTATAGGAAAGGAATCTTCTGTGGTTCTAAATTTATCTAAAAGGAAAAAAGACACCTGTTTTAGTCTTAGATGATACTTAAAAATCGTGATGGATGGGCCGGCCTGGTGGCTCACTCGGGAGAGTGTGGTGCTGATAACACCAAGGCCACAGGTTTGGATCGGTGGCTCACTCGGGAGAGTGCGGTGCTGATAACACCAAGGCCACAGGTTTGGATCCTATATAGGGATGGCTGGTTTGCTCACTGGTGGCTCACTCGGGAGAGTGTGGTGCTGATAACACCAAGGCCACAGGTTTGGATCCTATATAGGGATGGCTGGTTTGCTCACTGGCGAGTGTGGTGCTGACGACACCAAGCCAAGGGTTAAGATCCCCTTACTGGTCATCTTTAAAAAAAAAAAAAAAAAAATCGTGATGGATGGGAATAAAATATATCAATTTATAAATAGTATTAAATATATGTAATTCTCAAGATATAAATGAAGTATTTTTATGAGTAAATGTCATTATTTCTTCCCTTTTCCCAGTGTGCCCTTTTTGTCATCACCTTTACATGCTGCCTTAGAAAGACTTTTGGCCGAATGCTTAATATAAGGGGAGGGGATATTTGTGATTGTGTAGGCTGTTAATATTTTTTGGTCATTAGCTGAATACTCAATATTTGATTCAAAAAGCTGTACATACTATATAGGGATGTATTGGATGTAACTATACAGGCAAGGGATGCATTTATTTGGTCCCACCCACTGTTACTATAAAGGACAAGTACCTGTTTCCCTTAGGTACATCCATTGCTGGGATACTCTAAAAGTTTCTACTAACTTAAAGATGAGTGTGTGTTGGGCCGAGCCTGTGGCGCACTCGGGACAGTGTGGCGCTGGGAGCGCAGCAGCACTCCCGCCACAGGTTCGGATCCTATATAGGGATGACCGGTGCGCTCACTGGCTGAGCGTGGTGCGGCCGGTCTCAAAAAGGACCAAAAAAAAAAAAGATGAGTGTGTGTCAACTTTGGGCAATACAATTGAATCCCCAAAATAACAACATTCATAATCTAAAGCCAAATTGTATTTTTAATATCGATATTGTGTCCAAGTTCCCTCCCTTCCGTCTTTCCTTTCTCCTTTCCTTTTTTTTAAAATAGTATGTCTCGTGCTGAGCCAACAGGCCAGCCCCTATTTCTGTGTTCTGGAAGAGCCTATAAACTTTGCCTTCAGCTTTTTTCCTTTTCGAAAGGAAAACACCAGTGGTAGATGATTAATTTTTTTTATTTTGAAATTCAATTTGGATTTATAGTCAGCTCTGAGATTTATGGGATCAATTTTGGATTACAGAGAGAGTTGTAGTTCAAAACTTAGGATGCTCAGGTTCTGATGTAGTATCACCAGCACTTTTCAACTCAATAATGAACATTCCAAACAATAAATGAAAATGAAACTAAGTATTGGAACTAGCAAAATAGAAGAATGAGCACAGCAATTTATTTTTTATTTTTATTTTTATTTTTTTCTCAAAAGATGACCAGTAAGGGGATCTTAATCCTTGACTTGGTGTTGTCAACACCACGCTCACCCAGTGAGCAAACCGGCCATCCCTATATAGGATCCGAACCCATGGCCTTGGTGTTATCAGCATCGCACTCTCCCGAGTGAGCCCCGGGCCGGCCCCTGAGCAAAGCAATTTAAATGTTAAGCATTTTAGTCCTAGGCTGGTACTGGGCTGCCACTGTGGATACCAAAATTAAAGACTAATTGTCAGCCTACATGGTTGGAGGGAGAGGAATCTGTTTCTAGATCCTGTGCTAAGTTCAGTAGTGACAGTAAGTCCAAGGTGCTGTAGGAACTCCTCATCAGAGAGGATTCTGGGAGTGGGGGTGAGAGGGCTGCTAGAGGGCTTGAGGAATCCCAGGCAAATTAATAAGTAAAGAAGCAAGGCAAACAGCTACAAAATATCACAAGTACTATATGTAGCTTGAACCAGAAGTGTGAGGCAGGACATGGGTGGAGAGGTGGACAGGGTCATATCCTAGAGGGCCTTGATGCTCCGATGAGGAACATGCACCTTACCTTACTGATAACGGGATCCATGGATGGGTTTCAAGCAAGGAAGTGACAACGTTAGTTTTAGTCGTAGGAGGATCAGATTGTAGTTCATTCTGGAGAAAAGTTCATTTCTGGGTGGCAGAAAGGCGTGGCCCTGAATTAGGGCAGGTATAGTAACGTTTTGTTAGTAGTGTATATGTGTATATGTATAGAGATAGATACGTGTGTGTGTGTGTGTGTGTGTTTGAGTTCCAAGTGACAATAGCATCATGGCTTACTATAAAGTTAAAAGCTCATTATTTTTTAATGGCAGTATCGAAAAATATAAACAATTATTTTAAATCCTACCACCAAGGAATTGTATTAATTTACACTGCTTGTTGTCTCGTCCCCTTACCAGTTGTGGGTGTTATCATTCCATTTATTCCCGGCCCCCATCTGATGAATATGTCATTATTTCAAATTACATTTCTTTGAATACTAATGAAGTTAAGGAGTTTTTCCATTTATTTTGCCTGTTATAAATCTTTTATGACATATGTGTTCAAGTACTTTGCTTATTATTCTCCTGGGATATTCTTTTTCTTAACAAGCATGTGATCTTCCTGTCTTTATTAAGGATAGTCCTCAGTTTATATTTGTTGGCAATAAGTCCTAGTTTGTTTTGGGCTCTTTTGCCCTTTACTCTTCAAACACTGTAGTGTGGATTATCCTTTAACAAGTCTGTCCGTTTCAGATGTTTTAGTGATATCACAGTCTGATCAGAGGTGCTGTGTAAATCTTGAATACAAAACGCTCATCTGGTGGGCTCTTGAATGCTTGAGGAAACAAACTTTGAATTTTTGACAGTCACAAATTGAAAATTTCAAAACATTCCCTACGTTTCCTAAAGAAAATCGTTTCAATTGTGAAACAAGAAGTATATCTCTAATTCTTCTCCTCCCGTTCTCTCTAGTCCAGTCTAGCTTTTCACCCTCCCCCCTGCAACTGTTCTTGTCACGGTGCCATTAACTTCCTTCCATGTTGCTTAGGCTAGAGGGGAATCGCAGGGGTCCTCTTTTCTAATCTGTCAGCAGCATTTGACTCTGTCGATCATCTCCTGCTTCATTCATTTTCTTCAGCTTGGCTTCCAGGACACTTTATTTTTATTTTATTTATTTTTTATGGCAGCTGGCCTGTACAGAGACCGAACCCTGGCCCTTGGTGTCATCAGCACCACACTCTAACCAACCGAGCTAACGGGCCAGCCCTCCCGGACATTCTAATCTCCTGGTTTTCTTCTGACCTCCCTATGTTCTTGTTCTATCTCCTTTGCAATTGCTTTTCCTCTTAATGTTGGGGGGGGGGGCCCCAGGGCTCAATCCCTGGGCCTCCCTCTTCTCCATCAACATTCACTCCCTTGGTGATCTCATACAGCATCATGCTATAAGCTGGCAACTTCCAAATATGTATCTCTAGCCAGGTCTTCCTCCCTGAACTCCAGACTCATACGCAGCTGCCTGCCCCAGATGTCCACTTGGGTGTTTAAAAGACACCTCAAACAAAACATATCCCGAACTGAGCGATCCTCCACAGCCTTCTCCATCTCCGTCATGGCAGCTCCTCTTCCTCTAACACCCCATCCCCAATCCATGCGCAAATCCTGCTGGCTTTTCCTTTAGAATAGATGCAGAATCTACCCATTTCTCAGCACCTCCGGTGCTGCTACTCTGGTCACCATCATTATACTAAGTCTTGCATGGTCTTTCTGTTTCTAACCACCAACAACACCCCAACTCTACCCCCACCACCCTCTGACCCGACCACATATGTGCATCTGTGTTTAACACAGCCCGCAAAGAGATCCTCCTAAAACGCACATCGGGTCACGTTACTCTACTGGTTCCCATATTTCTCTCAGTAAAAACCAGAGCCCTGACGGCGCCCTAGAAAATCTGCTACAACTCCCACCCACACCCCATCTCTTGCTATTCCTCCTTCGCTTCCCCTGCTTCAGTCACGTTTTTAGATTGCCAAGCACATTCTCACCTCAAGACCTTTGCACTTGCTGTTTCCTCTGCCTGCCTGGAAGGGTCAACTCCCATATATCCATTATCTCTTTTAAGACTTTGTTCAAATGTCACTTTCTCGGTGACCCCTGCCCTGACCAGTATTTAAAATTGCAACCTTCCTCTCTCTCTCCCCTGACTAGACTGTAAGCTTCATCTTTTGTTCATTACAATAACCTTTGTACCTAGAACAGTATCTGGCACAAAGTAGGCACTCAAATATCTGTTGAATTAGTGTCATTAACTTCAGTGATTTCACTACAGAAACTGTAGTGAAAAAACTCCTCTCACACAAGCTCAGAGCCTGTTCATGTAATCCAGCCTTAACCTGGGCTCAACTATGATGTCCTGTACTGAGAGGTCATTTTTTTTTTAATTTTTTTATTTTTATTTTGTCAATATACAATGTAGTTAGTTATTGTGTCCCATCACCAAAACCTCCCTCCCTCCTCCCTCTCCCCCCTCCCACCCAGATGTGTCCCCTCCATTTCTGAGAGGTCATTTTTAAGGTCTTTTTTAGAAGTTCACCTCTAGGGGGCCGGCCCGTGGCTCACTCGGGAGAGTGCGGTGCTGATAACACCAAGGCCCCGGGTTCGGATCCCATATAGGGATGGCCGGTTTGCTCACTGGGTGAGCGTGGTGCTGACAACACCAAGTCAAGGGTTAAGATCCCCTTACCGGTCATTTTAAAAAAAAAAAAAAAAAAAAAGAAGAAGTTCACCTCTAGGAAACAGTAAAAAAAAAAATCAAAATATCAGGAAAAGAGATAAGGCTGACACTTTTTATTATCACTTATTTACTACTGTCCTCAAGTGCTCATCAATACGATTGGATAAAGGAGCAGGATTAATGTGTG